CGATGAGTATTTGAAAAATGGAATTCCAACCACATAAGATTAGGGTAGATAAAAACGGCTTTGATCGTCGCTATTAATTTTGTAAACTGATTTAAAGAGCTACCCAATAATGGTATTAATAACGGCATGGCAATTGTCTTTCTTTTTAATGTGTTTTTTCGGGTGACCACTTTGCTTCTGAAAGATTTAAGGACTCGCCACATCTGTCGCTAGTGAGCTGATGCCGATCCATTGATAACAGGGAATGAATCTCTGGGATGGTATTTTTGGGTAGATCTGGGTAATTACTGCAAAATGCCATCGAGCCAACCCTATAGGCTATTTCAGAAAAGGCTTTGTTCTCATTTAATAAAACAATTGTTTGCCAAACTTTCATGAAAGGCCTGTCAACAGGTATTAATGTGCCTTCAGGAAAAGGGAAGAGTCTAATAATCTAAAAGTATTTTTAAAAGAAGAGAAAATACCCCATGGAACGTATGACCTATGGCTGAAAGTGAAAGCATTTGTAGCAATAAGCTAACTTAATAGATCAATCACTTAATAATGTGTATATAGCTTTTATTCTGGTAAAATAAAATTCTTTAATCATTATGATTATCCTAAAGGCATACAATTTTCAGTGTTAGCGAATAGATAACAATTGACAAAACCTATATGTTGAACTACAGACACTCGACACAACAAAAAATTTTGCAAAAATTTGGATAACTATGTAGGCCCTTTGCATATCCATATAGGTTTTATCATTAACGTCTTTTTGAAATAGAATTTAACCGATACCATAGACTATAGAACGACCCTGAATACAATGCGCAAAATGTGTGTCATTTAACTGTTTCCTGTAAGTCCAATAAGACGAAAGGCTGTTCCATTCGGTCTCGCGATTTAAGCTCTACAAATTTGTTTACGGGACTCATAACAAATGGTGGCGGACAATAGTGCGATGATTTACATGACTAATACTTATGTTTTTAACGCAAACTAATGAAGCCCTTTTTAACGGGGTATCAATTGACCCTCAATCGCATTTGAAGAAGTCTCGGGGATGTTAAACAAAACAACTGGAAGTGTTTTTGCACATTGTAGAAAAGCTTCTTCTAATGGGGCAATACTAAAAAATTTTCTTGTAATATAGAATCTAATTTATTTAATAGAAAGTATATCACTTTGTTATTCTTTCATATCGTTAATTGCTCTGTTCTACATCATCATTTCTGTGCAAGCCTAATGCAATGTAAAGTTCCGTTAAAAATATCAGAGTTAAAAGAGAGATAAAACAAGCAAGTGCTGAGATTTTGAGTTTTGATTAAATATTTGAACCATGTAATCAAATACACGAGCAACGAAATTAATACCTGGTTACATTCTCGGATTTTTAATGCCCATGGGAATTCGAAACTAAATAGTCTCGAGTACAAAAGAGAGAAGAGGTTTAAAGTGGTTGCAATCTGTTGATAAAAATGACAAATTCCACATAACAAGCAATTAAAATAAACAAAACAGCAGCTATTCTCAGACCTCGAACTTTCACTACCGATTTCATACCGACGAACCGCTTTCGACACTTCTAAAACGAACCGGCTCCGTATTTATTTGAACGAACTCATTACGTGTCATAATTGTTATACAATAAAGAATGGCCAAATTACTGAAACAATTGAGCGTTTATATATATTTGCGGACCCTTTCAACAAGTCGCCAGACTTTTCCTTTCAGCCCGTGCGCATATCGGATTGACACTTTTCAACAAATCGGCAGATTTTTGTTCTCACGTTTTAGTGATTTTCTACGGAAAGGATGGCGAAAAATAAACACCGATTGAGACAACAATAACTGCTGAAATGATTTGAAGGGATCGTATAAACCTTCAACGGAATTTAATTTGGTTTTTGTTACATAATAAAATTTGTGACGTTCTCCGAGGCATTCGTGCAGTATAGTCGGCATTTTGAGCTCCTTGAATGCGTTTGATTTTATTTTCATGTTTTTGGTGGTCGCAATTTCATTTTTCACCCTACCTAAAACGAATTTGCAGTTAAAAAGTCAAGCCAAGTACAAAAAATTTGCTATTTCTTTTAGGTAATTGTTTACGCATTGTTGCTATCATGTCTATTAGCCTACGACAAAAGCGCTTCTACTATTGGAGGCGAGGGTGGATTCCATATTCTGCTTCCTTTACGAATTCGCCGTTCACCGCCGCAGCTCACTTAAATTCTAGTTTGCTACTCTCAGTACTGGACGAATCAGATTTCTTTCTTTATAAATATAGACACACGTCAAATAGAGTTCAAGGTTCCACAACTTCCTCATTTGTATATAGATATAAAATTGTTAATTATGAAAATGTAATGACGGTTTTTAATACATATTTGAGGAAGTTGTTAGAACAAATTGACATTTCAATTTCTTTTGATAACTTAATACTCACCCATTTTGATACATCAAACATGATTAACCTAAAAGTTGTTACAATTATTTTACTTTCCTATTAAACTGACTTTTGAGTCAGTAATATAAAAATGTTTGTAATATCTGCAACTTCAACGCCCGAAGTCTACTTTTCCCAGTGTTTTCCAAATCCAAAATTTTTCAAAAAAAAATTGTTATTTCCTGCCGCTTCGGAAAATCGAGCATATAAATAGCGTAACTGAAATTAATATTAATTAAATTCGGTGAACTATAGGAAATTTTATCGGAATTCAAACAAAACGCGTTGATGGTTAATTTTTGTAAATTTTTAAAACCCGAAATTGTTTATCACGCCAGCCAATTAAGCGAAGAAATCTGTCTAATTAATAAAATATTATGGCGGCGTTAAATGCCATGAACTAGACGAAATTAATATTGCACCTGTTTCAATTTTATGTAGACTATTTTAATATTCATCAAGGATTATGGAAATATTAAAATGAAAAAAATAAGCCCTGAATCCACATATCTTATCTCCATAAAATTTGCGGACCTTGAGGTAGGTTCGAATTTGCTAGCTGTCAGACAACTTTAACATTTCGTAAAACTGTCTAGCAAGAGAGAAGTAAAATGTCTGAAAGCAACTGGCAGAAGATAGTAGCTTCGCCTCAGTCACATAAATTCGAATTTAGGACTAAGAAGGGAAATATAAATTACATTACATAAAAAATTATAATTAATTTATATCATGAAATTGAAAAAAAAGCATTAGTGATATTTACATGTTATAAACTTTATATATATTAAAACATAATAGGAAACTGGTGAAAAAGATATAAAAAATACAAAAAAACACAAAAGTTCTAAAGTAAAACAATATTTCAAATAATTTTGGACAATTTAATGACAACAAGATATTCAAAATGAAGCACATCAAATACACCTTAAAGATTTTGTAAATAAACAACTTTAAGTGTAGGTTTTTTAAATTTTAAAAATACATTTCTTACCGAAGTTGTAAGGGCATTTGCATCAAAGTGATCTTCGCAATAAAATTTTTTGCTGTAAATTCATTATTCATTAATGTATAGTAATTTATTATAATTGAAATTATTATTTTTTAAATTGTCATCTTAAATTAAATTAAATTAAAGTTAAGTTGGGTTTCCTTTTTAATTTAGTCCACCGCGTAGACAAAATGTAAATTTAATTGTATGAATTTTTATAGCGAAAATTTTATTTCAGTTTCGGACAGTTTTGGGGTTTTCCCTGAAATCCGGAAACGCTGCTTGTCCATTTTAGCTAGAATAAATAATTGGAGATGAATAACCAGATAAAATTGTGTTTAGTGAATAACTTGTTGACTGTTTTTTTAAGTTAAATGAAAACGACAGGATTTTCCCAATAAAACCTTTGTAGTTTTTTTAAGGCAAAGAAAAAATTTTACCATTAATACTGAAACAACTAGCATCTTAAAACGAATATTTAATCATAATTAGAAAAAATAAAAATTCTCCATTTGAGCTACCATTCGAAAATCCTCCTCGAATTTAACTGGTTTCTTGTAGGGTTAAAATACTAATAAATTTCATGTATAGCTCGTAATTCATATACTGCGGCCATACGTGAAAGATTATGCTATTATACTAATATTTTTAAAAGAATCCCACTTGATGCCATGATATCATACCCCGAAATGTAGGCTTATAACAGCGGCGTACAAAACCGGTAATTTAACCATAAAATCAGTTTTTTCAAAATGGTTTGAGTATTCTCGCATCGGAGAGAATAACTAAATTTATAAAATAAAATAAATAAATTTTACAAGATCTTGGGGGCTCGATGCCCAGTTGAGGTCTTTGTGCGTCAAGCATCAGAATCTGTTATGCAAATGATTATCATGGAGTCGGCAATAACTAAAAAATGAACGATATGATGAAATCAATTATCAGTCAATTAGTGGCGCTCCATAAAATTTGTTATTATCGTATAGTTAATTTCACTATAGTCGGGCGTTATAATTGTTAGGACGCCCCTGAACTGCGTCGTAAAAATCAAATTTCGTTTTCTTCGGCCGATAGAAAATTAATATCTTACAAAATTCGCGATTTGGTTTAAAAATAAAACAAGTTCTGGAATCTGCTACGGATGTTCTTAAATCCCAAGGTCTCTGATCATCCTCCTTCATTTGCATTTTTAACGAATTCGCATCGGTAATTTACGACAATGAGACACATTCGTTTCAGTACCGTACTAGATATTTCGTATACAGTTAAAAAATCTTCGTTAATGGTGGAAGTACTCGGAGTGGTGTGCTAAAGAGATTTTTAGAGTCATTAAAAATTGCTTCAACACTGAATAAGAATAGAATGTTTTTCCATCGATGTCATAGATATAGGTCACAGATCCGATGAAATTGTTTTTGAGTCAGCCACCAAACTTCGAATCGAGTCCGCCCCTGACTTTATTATTACATAATGCTAATCTGATCTATAATTGAGAAATGTTTTTTTCGAGCCGGCAGACACGAAATGGATCGGGTTCGTTGAATTTTTAAAAGGAATTATAATAAAATTAATATTTCAACAAAATTTGTCATAAATTCTTGGTCGTAAACAACCAAAAGGCGACCAGCTTTTTCGTGGGGTATAAAATAGGAAAATTATTGAAAAAAGCTTCAGTTTGTGTGTTGTGGTGGAACAGCATGAGGTTGACAGTAAGTAATTTTACATTTACGTAATGCTTCAAGACAAGACTCCGTAATAGAGCTTATTTTGTATAGCTTAATTTTTATCTTTTGTTAGTTTTGATTAGTTAGTTCAGTTAGTTTGGTTGTTCTGGCATTATTAAGTGGTTCCAAAGGTTGTCAGAAATAATTCAAAATGTGACTGGTTTTACAAATTGAGATCTAATTTTCCAAAAGTAAATAGGTTCAGAAATTCATTATTTCCAGGGTTTTATTTTTTTTTTAATTAAAATAACAGTAATTATAAAATATTTAAAAATTGTATTACAACCTGACCTGGCAAGAATTTTTTTGTCTTTTGTGTTTTGTTTTTGACTTAACTCTAAAATCAAAAACTAAAGAAAGAAAAAGAAAAGTTAACCTTCCTCTATCTGGTGCTCCTGTTTTATGAAATACGTAACAATTTACAACTAAAAATATATTATCGCTATTCTGGTTTAAATTGTAGCTTAAATTCTTAAACATTTCCATTACGTGTGAAAGTGATCTATGGAACTAGGCACTAGAGAGTTAACGTTTGCATTCTTGTTCTAGGCTGTCTTATTGGTCTTTTGCTTGTCGGCGGCTTTGGCTGCCGAAAAGCCATCGAAATCTGAAAACAAAAAACGTAGTTTAAGCCATATTTCGTACTCTTCACCAAATAACTTGCTCAACTCCTACTCCTATGGAGTCGGCGGTTCCGTGGCTTTACCTGCAAGTTCCAGTTCTGTAGGATCTGGATTTGGGTCGTACTCTGCTTACGGATCTGCAGCGGCACCTGCCGTTTCCAACTTCGGAGCTTCTAGCGTAGGCGTGAGCAGCATCGCCTCATCCTCAGATGTGAACAGTTTCGGTTCATCCGCGGCAGCAGTACCAAGTGCCTCTGTACAAAGTCTGGGAGCTGTTGGAGCGTCAGGTATTTCCGGCTTGGGATCTAGCCTCGATTCTTCTTCTTCGGGCGTTGGTGTCAACGGTGTCAATTCCTACAGCGCGTATGGTGCAAACTCATACAGCCCTGCATCCTACGCCTATGGTTACGGAAATGGCCAATACATTAATTTGGGCACATCTTCCTCCGTGCATCCGGTTACTACTTACGTATCCCACCCAGTTACCACCCAGCATGTTGTTTATACCAAAACCGTCGGGGTACCTGTTCCACAGCCCTATCCGGTAACCGTGGAAAAGAAAGTCCCCGTTCCTGTTCAAGTAGATCGTCCTTACCCGGTAACGGTTGTTAAACAAGTCCCGGTACACGTAGATAGGCCGGTTCCTTATCCAGTAGATAGGCCCTATCCAGTAGAGAAAAAGGTACCTTATCCGGTACCCGTCGACCGTCCTTACCCGGTAACCGTGGAAAAGAAAGTGCCATATCCCGTAGAAAAACCTTACCCCGTCCAAGTTCCGGTACCACAACCGTACCCGGTGACGGTTGAGAAGAAAGTGCCGTATCCAGTAGACAGGCCTTACCCGGTACACATTGAGAAGCAAGTGCCCGTGCCAGTTCCCTACAAAGTGGAGGTACCCGTCGACAGACCGTACCCCGTCCATATCGAAAGGAAAGTGCCGTACCCAGTAACGGTAGACCGTCCCGTACCCGTACCCGTTGAGAGGAAAGTGCCATACCCAGTACCGTACAAAGTACCTTACCCCGTCGACCGCCCATACCCAGTCACGGTTGAAAAGAAAGTGCCTTTTCCGGTTGATAGACCTTATCCTGTCCAGGTTGAGAAGAAAGTACCGTATCCGGTTCCGGTAGACCGTCCAGTTCAAGTTACCGTAGAAAAGCAGGTATAGTTCCTCCGACAACTGATTAGCGCACCTAGTACTAATTTTTTACGTTGTAGGTGCCAGTTCCAGTCGACAGACCCTACCCAGTTACCGTTGAGAAACAAGTGCCATATCCAGTACAAGTAGACAGAATAGTGACCGTTGAAAAGCAAGTGCCGGTAGCGGTTGCCCAGCCCGTGGTGCAGTCTGTCGTCCAACAACCTTCAGTGTCTGTATACCCTTCGGCAGTACAAACCTTCGCGTCCCAGGGAGTATCGGTAGAGCCTGTAGTGGCCTTCCAAAAGTCTATCGAGTTGTCGGGCTACAGCAGCCAGGTTTTCCCCGGAGCCAGTAATGCATTTTCCTCTGGTGTCGCTAACGGGTTTTCCTCCAACGGAGTAGTATCCAGCGGTGGAGTAGCAGTACCCTCCAACGGATTCGCATCGGGTGCAGTTTTTCCATCAGGCGACATCGTATCCAGTGTGGTTCCTTCCAGCGGAGTTGTCGTACCGAGCGGAGTATCCAGCGGCGTAGTGTCGGCTGGGGCTGCGGACAGCGCAGCATTCGGCTCCTCCTTCTCGCAGGATAGCTCGTCTTCGGTCGCTGCTGCCTCCGGTTTCAACGGAGTTTCCGGATACTCTGGATCTTCTTCCGGGGTGGCCGGATCTGGGATTGGAAGCCAATTGGTAGGTGAGAACGCTTCGTTCAAGTCGTCCTTCGGCGCTGCTAGCGCTGGATCTTCTGGGGTGGTTCAGCAGCCAGCCGTGTTGGTGAAAAGCCAAAGTTTCGTCAACAACGTACCCAACGTGTCCAGTGGCAGCGGGTTCAGTTATTACAAACGCGAGGCCAAAAAGGAAGACAAGAAGAACTAGGTCGGAATTTGTCGTTGTAATTAGTAATTAAGTGTAAAAAGACTTGTTTCACTCTCTCTCGAGCATTTTATTTTTGTTGATTTATACATTATAAAGCAACAAAGATAAGAAATGTTTTAATTACGCGAGTAATAAATGAATATGAATAAGGGTTGTTATTCTTCCTGTTTTCTCCTAACATAACCTAACTTTCTGGCAATTTTATAGGGTAGAAAAGCAAATAGACTGACACAAAAACAGTTATTTACAAATAAAAGAGCAAAGCAGAAAAACAATGACACGGTCTTAAAATCCCTTTATTAAATTTACTTTAACTCTTCAAGGGGTAGTAACTAAATGATCTTTCATATTGTGCCGCCCTGTGAAAGGGTGATGATATTTCGGAAAAGTTTTCAAGATACTAGGAGGCTTTTTGCGCCTTTTATGAAATGTTTGCTATTTTATTGTGTTATAAACTAATTTTTCTGAAGTTATTTTGTCGTTAAAATTTTTAGTTTTTGCAACTTCTTTTTTGTTGACGTTACTCTTTATTGACTTGTCATCTATATGGTATTCGAGATGTGGCGCTAAAATCGCTTGCCTGTAACATCGGTTAAAGTAAAATATACAGAGTTCGATCGCCATATATCTCAGGAATTACAGGACTTACATTTACAAAATTTAAATAGTTTCTAATTAGCCACATTTATGGTGTTTCCACTAAGCTACCAAACTTTCATATTTTAAATAGAAATGGTATGTTTTTAATCCATTTTTGGATTGCTCTGAAAATTCTAAATATTGTTAATGCAACATCCCCTATACCGAAATTCAACCGTACAGAATTTAACTTATGAACGAATTGATAAACTTAAATAACAATAAAAACCATTTAAAAATTAACAACAAAAGTGCTTATTTTTAAACTAAACAAAACTTACCATGGTTGTTGGGTTTGGTTGTGTACACTTTAATTGTGAGGTGACCCAAAGAAAAAAATTTAGGATATTTAAATCTGGCGGACGAGGCGGCGATTAGATGTCATTCAATCCACCGATCTCGAAACATTTAATTCGGGTATATTTTTGGTGCCCCATCTTGTTGAAACCATATCCGGTAATCAATCATCCCAATTTCGCCAATTCTGATGTTTGGATATAGCAAAACTATAATATAACTTGCGTCATTAAAAGGGTATAATATTTTTCGTCGATGAGAAAGCCATTGATACAGAAAGGTCCTATAAAATTTCCACCCATTATTCTAACCCATACATTTAGCTTTTGAGGATATTGGATGCTCAATCATCCAATGGAGGTTTTGATTTGACCAATATCAGCAAATGTGTCGATTAACGAAGCCATTCAAACCAAAATTCGCCTCATCCGGAGAAAGGATATAATTGAATTAAAATCATCCGATCCTCCGATCTGGATCATCCTTAGAGAATCTTTTGTGTTATTAAAAGAAATCCTTTTTTGCTTTTATAAACTTTGTTAAAATCATTCATAAATTAAATTCTAGTTTACCGATTAGATCATAAATTATTTTCGTTTTTTTTTTAAATTTCGGTATACGAAAATTTAAACGAAAAATACTTATAATTTTACGAGCACTCCAGAAATAGAATAAATTTAAAATAAATAAAATATTATATTACGTAAGTTTAAATTTAAAACAACAAATTTAGGTATCTTCGTTCAATTTCACTGGTTTCAATATTATGTTCTTAAAGCTGTCCTTCTAAACAATATCCAATGACACTTTTTATTATTTAATTCCAAGCAATGTTTCTCAGAAGCATCCACCAAGAGGCTTTAGCTTATTGTTGGTGTCTAAAATTTGCTCGGGGTTGCAAATTATCAGCATAGAGGTGTAACTGTAAATATTTAGGATAGGTATAAAGCTGGAAAGTGTGTAGCTGTCACAAAAAAAGACGTTCAAGTTACCGTAGAAAAGCAGGTATAGTTCCTCCGACAACTGATTAGCGCACCTAGTGCTAATTTTTTACGTTGTAGGTGCCTGTTCCAGTCAATAGACCCTACCCAGTTACCGTCCTTCCAAACAATATCCAATGACACTTTTTATTATTTAATTCCAAGCAATGTTTCTCAGAAGCATCCACTAAGAGGCTTTAGCTTATTGTTGGTGTCTAAAATTTGCTCGGGGTTGCGAATTATCAGAATAGAGGTGTAACTGTAAATATTTAGGATAGGTATAAAGCTGGAAAGTGTGTAGCTGTCACAAAAAAAGACGTTCCTGTGGTTATACGGCTGCTTAATTTCTTATTAAACGCGGATCGTTTATTTTCTTAAGGCTGTGACAAAGTGAAACCTCGAACTGGGAAACGGTATCTCGCGTCTATTTCTGTCGAAAACCCGTAAACAAATTGTCCATTAGGTACACAATGCAGACTGAAAATGTCATTTTTCCTGCATTTTAGTATGGGTTTAAATGTTTATCTGACTAGAATCGTAAAGATTCTACTCAGGCCGTTAAATAATGACAATTCATGTATTTATTGCTTGGCCGCTTGGCCATACAAGCAATCAAAAATGACCAATCCAGTTCACAATGAAAGCAGCAAAATAGATCATAGTACTATTGGCCTGGGTTACAATAAACAATAAAATTTTAATGTTAAAAAAAGAAACCTAATGAAAATGGAAAGGCGAAAGAAAAAATAAAAAAAAATTATTCCGTCTTTTCAAAATTGCTTTCTTTTACTACAAATGACCAAATTCCAAAATTCGTATAAAAATTATATTTTCATTTTTTAAATGAACGGCCATATTGTTCTCCTAGTTTTCGTATTTATCATTGAAGAGAAAGTAAACCAGACAAAATAAGCCATTTGTCGATGCTGTATATTCTAAAATATTGCTCTTAAGATAATGGGCCAGGTTTTAGCAACAAACTCCAATATTTGGCAGAAAACCATTTAAAACTATTAAATAAAGGTTAATATAAATATCTATTGAATAACATATAGCAAAGCGTATTTTATAATGGCAAATTAACATTTTTTGTTAAACTTTTGAATGTTTCTTTAAGTAAAGACTTTTTCAAAGAAAATTTTACACCAGGTAATTGTGGATAATGTTGAAAAGAATATTCCTTAACTGATTATGTCAAAACAGAATTATTTTCAAATTTTAAAGTAATTGCCAAATAAAATGTCCTCATAAATTTGACTTAATTTAGGAAATTTTTAATTAGTAGACGATGTGAACATTTTCCACGTGGGACATACTATGACATAAATCAATCATGACAAATGTCATGGCGGCGGCAAATTCGAAGGTTCTGACTGAAAACATAAAGATCCTAAACATTTATTTGAAAAAAGTGTTTAGAATGGCATTATACACACACAACATTTTAAAATATGATAAATATTAGAAATCTTGAGTACAAAATACAAAAAATAATGATTATTTATATATATTACAATAAAAGGACAATTATTGCAATAATTTCCAAATATTAAGCACAAGCACCATATTTAGTATAATCCATGAACCCTCACACAATGTTTTAGAATTATTTTTTGACATGTCAAAGAGAGCACTAATAATGTTCTATAATGTGGCAAAATTTAATATATAAAATGCGATTATGTTGTCTAAAACAATATACTAACATATAATTATCAAATAAGAGACTTCCGCTTTAGAAGCACCGAAAATTTGAGACATTTGCTCACCAACTAACGCGAGTATATATCTTTATAATATCGTTGATTGAATAATTTGCCGCCGAGGCGGAATTTTATGTGCCCTCCGAGATTTTTAAAGCCGTTTGAACGTGAAAATTTGTATTCTTAGCCCAATTTCTCGATGGGCTCGACCGTTTAACTATTCACACCTCACTAATTTTATTACAACGGTTTTTTCGGCTTGATATATATTTTTATTGCCCTGAAATCTTTATGGACGTGTTGAGTCTGCGCGCGTTGAGTTTACGTTAAATTTAAGGAAATTATGTATTTCCACTTCGTTATGACAATTTAAGGTAATAGGTGAGCGAGTTAAAGATGACCACTAATTAGTTTTATGTAGCACGTAAATATGAGCATTCATATCAAAAATGTATCTAACAGACTTTAATTACCATCCTGAAAAAATGATTATAAGTAGTGCAGTAAAAGATTGAAGTACTTATATTATAGTATGAAAGAAATAAAAAATGCAAAAAAGTATTTTACACCGACAGAGCCATAGTCAATAATCTATGTGAAATTTTCAGTAAATTGAAAACAAGCTTGCCTTTATGGCCGCCTGATATTATACGTTTTTGCCTATATGTTTCTAGGTATTTTACGTTTCATTCAATACATTACATCTTGTAGTAATTTCCTTCACATGCAAGTAATTTTTATTTTTGGGAATAAAAAGGGAATATGAACTTTTTAAGCCACTCGTTTATTAAGCGAAAGAAACTCTTGACTCAAATGCCGTTTACCGCACTTGTTGCATAATATACTATGTTCTACCCGCTTCTGTAAAGTATCTAATTATACACCGCTCTAGCGTGCGGAAAATGTGATCTACTAGCACACACTTCGGGCATTTCCGGGATATTACCGCACGGGTTTGGGAGCAATCGGATGTTTTCGGAAAAATTACAGCACGGCTTGAATTTTGACATTTGTCAACTCTGACGGTGTATGAAACACAGTTAGTAAACTTTTTAAATGACTCGTTGCATAATATACTATTGTAATAGTATGTTATGCAAGAAGTGTGGTAAACGCAATTTAATTGACGAGTTTGTTTGACAAGAAGGGAGTGTAGTGGAGCCAGTATTTATTAAACGAATGTTGTGCATACTATACTTTATCTACGATCGTTATTTTTTGGGTACATTTTTGCAAAACAAAACGAATATGTTCACTGACACGTCCATCAGAATTGACAAACGTCAAAATTAAAAAAAAAATTAAACTCCCACACCTTGTATTGGTATTGGTATTGGTATTAAAGGGGGTGCCCTCGCGGGCGTCCAAGCACTTAGGCCACCAGATGGGCCCGTTGTGCCCCCAGGCCGCTCTAGAGGGCGTCCAGAATGCCGCCCCTCCTGTAGAAGGACAGCAACTCCTTTAGCCCAATACCGTGCACTGAGTCCGGATCGATCGGGGCCGTTCCGAAGACTCCCAGTCTTGCCCATG